TGTGAATTGTTATGTGTCTAGGTTTTTTTTTTAATTTTTAATCCCAATTGTTTCTAATCCAATTACTGCATGGTTTTTAAAGTGTCACAATGAAATAATGCAGGCTATTTTGTACTAAAATGGTAAAAATTATACAATGAACACAGCAGAGTCTTTTTCTGAATGAGGAATGTGAAAAACACTGGTGCAATATATAAATGTAAGTAAACAAAATACACCAAATGTTGGGAATAATGTGAACATTTTCTTTCTTTCTTTAAGACAACAATTCAGATATCAACATCTATTGGAAGGCAACTAAATCACTCCTTTAAAAAATGTTGCTTCTTAACTTTTCATATGATTATTTTCTGTTATATACCTAGATGAACATTTTGTGAAGACAGAGGTTAAAAATAACCATAATCCTTTGCTTTTTTCTTTTGTCATCTTTTAACTGCCTTTCCTCTCTGACTTCAAAGTTAATCATTTCGATATAAATCATTTAAAAGTATTTTTCAGACTTTGTTCTTATGCTTAAAGAAACAGAACTAAATTTGGAGGAAAAAAAATTCTAGGACATATTTTGGGGGCATGAAGTCAACACCCTCCTCTAAAAAAAATATTAAAATAATAGATTTACCTTGTTCCAGGAGGGATTTTGCTTAAATGTTTAAGTTTTTCATTATATTAAACCTAAATCATATTTCTCCAACTTCTACCCGGCGCTCAAAGTGCTTCATTCCTCTCTAGGCAGCACTCCAGTATTTTCCTATGTCCCTGCTATAGGTAGCCCCCACCCTTTATTTTTCAGCTTTGACTTGTACTGTGTTCCCCTATTAGAATATAAGCTTCATGAGGACTGAGACTTTTTTCTTTCTAATTGTATTTACTTTGCCAGTGCTTAAATATACTTGGTTCTTTTGATCTGACTTTTTAAGAGAGGATCTCTAGTTTTATCATACTAGTTATACTTCTGGATATTATCAGTTTCTCAATATCATTTTAAAAATATGGTACCCAAAACTTAACATAGTAACATAGTAATTCAGATTTAGTCCATGGGGGTTGAGGGGAGGGTGGCATAAGGAGCTATCACACTATTATTTTGGACACTGCATTCATCACAAGATGATGGGGCTTCTTTTTTGGTGGGGAGAAACTACTGTGTCACAGTGTTGACTCCTCCTAAACTTATTCTTTGCTACAACCCCCATATCTTTTTATACACCTTTTATGTCAAATTACTACACTGGATTAAGGCAAATGATTTTTAAACCCAAATTTAATCCTAGCAAAATTCTATCTTATTACATTTAGGCTATTATTTTAAGCATAAGAATATTTTGGATGCAGACTCTGCTACCTATTGTCAGCTGTCCCTCCCAGATCTATGTCGTCTCCAAATATGGTATATCCTCATCCAAATCATTCATAAATATTTCAAATCCCAGACATTCTACAGTTTACCTGCAAAAATCTTGCCCCCTCAGGTGGATCCTAATCAGGTGGTACAGCTAGAACATTATGCTTGTTCTCATTTCTTCAGTGAATGTGAGTTTAACTAGTTTAATAATTTATAGATGATACCAATTTCCCTTGGCCTACCCAAAATGTATTCTTGTGTCCCTCCAGTTTTCTACAAGTTATGTATCAAAGCTAAAATGCAGTGGGGTATTTTTGACCCTTACACTGACATTGAGTTATGAGAAAATTATGTCTTGAACTTAGAAGACCCCAGATTCCTCACAAATACATCATTAAAGTACTAAAAATGTACCAGAAGGAAAAAAATGATAAAGAAAATCAAAGAGAAAGCTATAGTTTCCTCTATCCAGGCCAGGACTATACAAAAAGGGGTGTAAACAAATGACCAGACCCAATGTAGGACAACCCGCAGTCTCCATTAAAAGCAAAAGTCAGAACCAAACCTGTGCTCAGCATGGGAAGACCTGTAGAACCCATCTGTGGCCCAAGACAAGGTTAGACTAGCATCCAGCCAGGATGCACTGGGCCCAGCATCCACACTCTTAGTCAGTGTGGAAAAAGATAAAGGCAGACAATTCCTGAAGAAAGAGTGTCTTAGTCACTAAATTCAGTATCCTATTTGTACTGTTAAGAAGTACGAAGCAGAGTTTCACACAAACATATATATGCCCCGAATATAGAAACTAAAGCTGGAGATGTAAGCAAACAGCAGAAAACACCACAAAGATGGACTGAGAGAAGTCCAATGAGTAAACCTAGAATAAGAGAGTAACTGTACTACATTGGAAATAGAACTCAAGAGAAATGAATGTTCTGGATATCAGGCTATAAGAGTACCTGGGGAGGGGGCAGCTAAGTGGCTCAGTGGATAGAGCACCAGCCCTGGATTCAGGAGGACCTGAGTTCAAATTGGCCTCAGACACATAACACTTACTAGCTGTGTGACCCTGGGCAAGTCACTTAACCCCATTGCCTAATCAAAAAAAAAAAAGAGTACCTGGGAAAAATCAAACAAGAGATACAAAATGGAAGAGCTAAGGAGGAAAAACAAAACAAATTTTCCCCTTATGTTAGAAGGTGGTAAACTTTACTCAAAAACTTTACTCAAAAACTGAACTCTGTGAAAATCATATTGGGCCAAACAAAAAAAATTATTCCATGAGAAAAGAAAAAGAAAATTAAGACAAAATCAGATTATTCTTTGACCATTACCTTTACGGATTTTCCTTTTCACCTGGTCAAAGGTGAAGTCAAGAAATAATTTCCGTTAGCTGAAGTAATCAAAGACATTCCTATCCTTTATACTAGAAGAGATTTCTGTTCTGGCATGGATGGGACTAGATAATCTCTAAGGCCCCTTCCAAATCTAGAGATTTTGATTCTGTATATATAAACAAGGTGAAGTATCTTGCAATTTACTAAACCAGTGACTTTGGATTCAGTACATTTACCTAGTGACCTAAACAGATGTAAATACTATGTGATATATGGACAGTGTCCTAAAGTAAGTTGCTATGATTAGTATTCTACAGTCTGTGACTTTGTATCTTGGAAGGATGATTCTGTTCCTGTTGAGCCACTTTTCTCTATGATTTTCTGTATAATTTAGGGGAAGTCTAGAATTACATCCCTTTCTTAAAATTATTTTAGACAAGAAGATAATTGAGTATTTGGTGCAGGGAGCAAGGATACTGGGTTTATTCTTGAATTTTAGATTTAATTTACTCATCTTCAAATTCTGTTTTAAAATATTCCTCACACAAGGATAACATGATTAGTTATCAATTTATACAGTCTAAAATAAAAATGTATTCATTAGAGGAATCTGGAGTAAGAAAACGTAGATATTATCAGTGCTTAATAATAATAGCTAACATTTACATAGTGCTTACTATGTGCCAAGCACTTGCGCTAATAACTCAAAGATGTCTAATGTCAACAGCTCAACAGTTGGCTTTGATGTTCACAAATTGTCATTTAAGTAGTATGAAAGCATACTCATCAATTTATTTCAATAGATTTTTAAAATGAATCATGTTTTTAAATTTCAGTGTTGTTCCCATAAAGGATTAAACAGAGCTTGCACTGGGGAAAACTTGCTTACATTGTACATCAAACTCTACAGAATAGCATACTTGAAAATATTGTAATTAATCCTGTGCTCAAAGACCTGAATGTGATCTGCATTTTAAAACACTAGGGGAAATAAAGAACTATTATCTGGTTGATTCTTTAGTTCTTAGTTTGGCATCATGAATAAATTGATTTTTAAAATGTATATCTAAAAAAAAAAAGTTCAAAACTCAAATCAAACACATTGAGTATTCCCTTGAGCCTTCTAAATATTATCTCTAGATTCTGTCTACTCTTCCCCTAATGGACATCTGAAAGAGAAATTATTTATAAGATCCTCAAAGAACCAAATGTATTTAATAAAATTATACCACCTCAAGTGATAGTAATTTCTCTTTTTTAAGGTGAATAAATACCCAAGATTTAAATACATTGATTTTAAATGCTCATTATGCATGGGTGTATATATTTCTCCTTTCCCTTCTGTTTATCATTTTTGTTTTCTATTCATGAGTGTTCCTGCACTAATCCCTCCTGATGCTGAGTTTGAAAGAGTGAAAAGTAAGCATTTATGTGTATACCTTAAGTTTACTGCAGGCACTTTGTTTGATACAAAAACTTTATTTCTATCTCAGGTTCTCATTTCACAATAATTCTTTTATCTTTCATTGACATAATCATTTTGAATATCAGGTTGCAGGTTAACTGGTTATGCTATAATACTAGGATTTCTAGTATTTCTTTAAAAGTGGATGTTTTCAGAAAAACTTCAGGCTCTGCTCAAATGCACTTATCCTTGTGTACTGTTATATGGATTATAAAATCTTTCCAATGTGAGCTAAAAGTATCTTTTCTCTGGCCTTTTTTAAAACCACTATGAAAGTCTGTAATTATTAGTTTAAAGAACTAAAGGTATTTAGCCTTAAATCTTTATTTAAGAAGGCACAAATATTTGGTGGTTAATCTGTGGAGGAAAGATTAGACTTGTTCTTCTTGGGCCACAAGATAGAATGAGGGCCAATGGGCAGAAATTTCATGGAAATAAATTCTATCTCAGTATAAGGAGGAGCACCTAAACAATTTGAGCTATTTGTAGTAGAATAGAAAATAAGGCAGTATACTCTCCAACCCTGAAAGTCTTCTAGATAACCACTAGCTTTGTAAAAAGGAATGCTGGATTTAGAATCGAAAGGAAGTATATTCCAATTATGGGTCTTGTCTCTTATTACCTGTGACCTTGGATACATTATTCAATCTGTCTAGATCTAATTTTTTTTAATCTACCAGAAAAGCAAAACAAAATAACACAACCAATAGGAGGATTGGATTAGATGACCTTTTGAGGTCTTGTCCAGATCATACTATGCTGTAGAGTTGGTTCCTGTTCTACATATAAGTTGGACAATCTTATCTCTTTGTAATTATGTTTTCTTTGTGCTTTGATTTTGTTTCTCACCTAGATCTTCGACCTACTGGTTAACCCGTATCCAGTCATTTCTTTATTGCAATGAAAATGGCCTTCTGGGAAGCTTTTCTGAAGAAACTCATTCTTGTACTTGCCCCAATGACCAGGTCGCTTGCCATGGTTTCCTCCCTTGCATTGTGGGAGATGGTTCTTCATGCTTAACCTGTGCTCCTGATAATCGTACACGATGTGGAAATTGTAATACCGGATATATGTTGAGTCAAGGGCTTTGTAAACCAGAAGTGGCAGAATCAACAGAGCACTATATTGGTTTTGAGACTGACCTTCAGGACCTTGAAATGAAATATCTTTTGCAGAAAACTGACCGGAGGATTGAAGTCCATGCCATATTCATCAGCAATGACATGCGTCTCAATAGCTGGTTTGATCCTTCCTGGCGCAAACGAATGCTCCTTACCCTAAAGAGCAACAAGTACAAAGCAAGCCTTGTCCACATGATTTTGGGTCTCTCTCTGCAGATTTGCTTAACTAAAAATAGCACCTTGGAGCCAGTTTTGGCTGTTTATGTCAATCCGTTTGGAGGCAGCCACTCTGAGAGTTGGTTTATGCCTGTGAATGAAAACAGCTTCCCAGACTGGGAACGGACTAAGTTGGACTTACCACTTCAGTGTTATAACTGGACACTGACTCTAGGCAACAAGTGGAAGACTTTTTTTGAAACAGTACATATCTACTTGAGGAGTCGCATCAAATCAAATGGCCCAAATGGCAATGAAAGCATCTACTACGAACCACTGGAGTTTATTGACCCTTCCCGGAACCTGGGCTACATGAAGATCAACAACATTCAAGTATTTGGCTACAGCATGCACTTTGACCCTGAAGCAATTCGGGATTTGATCTTGCAGCTTGACTACCCCTATACTCAGGGATCCCAGGACTCAGCACTTTTGCAGTTGCTTGAGATAAGGGACCGTGTAAATAAACTCTCCCCACCCGGTCAGCGTCGCCTTGACCTTTTCTCTTGCTTGCTTCGTCATAGACTCAAGTTGTCGACTAGTGAGGTGGTGAGAATTCAATCTGCTTTGCAGGCCTTTAATCCAAATTGCCAAACACAATGGATTATGACACAACCAAATTATGTAGTTAACCATAAATGTCAAGCACAACCCAAAACCTTGAAGGAGTTTTTACAGTGCTTTTGTGGAACAGTTTATGTTTGGAAGAGTAAATTTAAATTGTCTTTTCAATATCTGTCTTATATCAGTCAATACCGTTGGATGGCAATTTACACATGAACTTGCTGACAATGAATATATTATACCTGCAGTTTTGGTTTATGAATGAAATAAATACTGACACCAGTCTAGAAGACATTCTACTTTTTACAATAAATTTCATTTGTAATTTTATATGTTCCGTGGCAATGCTTTTGTGCATTACATCCTCTAGAGGGAACATAAAAGGATACCAATAAAATTTTGTAGCTGAACAGTTATTAAAAAGAAGTGCTGTGGGATTCCTTTTTTTTTTTCTTCCATGAAATGACTTCTATTTTGATATAACTTTGTTAGGGGCTGGGAAAAATGCAAAGGTTTTTTGTGTATTTATTTATATTTTCCCTAATGGAAATACTAGCAAGATCCCTTGCTTGATGAAAACTGAATTCTCTCTCCTGTAGTCTTTATGGAAAACCCAACCATTGGTAAAATGTTACATTCTTCAGTAATATTTTCATTGTTAATACCATAAAGGTGGAGTTGTGTCTCTATCATTCAAATTTGTAACCTCTTCCTAGAAACTAGCTATCTCCAAAGTAGTCAATATAACATTTCTCAAACCAATACCACTCCCTCTTTTAGAAATTAGATTATTTCTTCTCTTAAGCAAACATATATGCAAAAAAGAAAAAAAATTGTGATTACAAGCAGAGTATATAGGTGAAAATTAATTTCTTTAGCAACTATCTTAGTAATTTACTTTGTAAATTCTAGAAACTATAAACAAGCATTAGCATTAGACATTTTCATTTTAATTCAAATGGTATTTAATGGTACCTCCTGTTCAATATTTTATTGATATCAATAAAATAACTAACATTCATTTATTGTAATTTACTAGCAAAACATAAATATTTAAATAATGCCTATGAAAAATTCAGAGCAGTAAATAAGGATATCTCCACCCCCTTAGAAAAACTGTCATTGCTAAAAAAAATTAATAACTTTTGAACTTCTTATGAAGAGCTGACCCTTTCATTATTACATTACTGATTTTCACCTAAATTCCTGATGTGGAAAGTAAATAAATTGTTCATACACATGACTTGGAAAACATTATTTGGTAGATGGTTAATTAGGTTTTATAATTAACTAAAGACCACAGTTACATAAAGCATATATTGCTACAACATTTTTATGATGAATGTTGAGATCTTTTTCTTAGTGTGATGGTGCAAGTATCACTATTACCTTATAAATTAACTATAAGTAGTATATGGCTCACCTCCTTTTCCCAGGTTATAAATGGCATTCGGTACCAATCTATCTTTTTTTAATTTTTGGTCCAAATAAGACAGATTTGAGGAAAGAGAAAATATTCACAAAATGACTAATTAATACTTATAAGAGAATGTTTAAACCACTTGCTTTTACTACCTTAAGCTAAAAAGAAAAATAATGCTTTCTTCAACAAGAGAAGAAGATAATTCCTCAATGATGGTCCCAAATGGAAAAGTGTTGAAATTTGCAAGCTGTGACCACACAATACCATAGCATAAAAAATCAAATATCAAATCAGCAAATCTTTAATGATATTGCATGAAAACATTTTGAGTGCTGTAAGTTCCATTTCCTGATAACAGGTGAAATCTATATAGAACAGTAGGTTTGAAAAATACTTTATGTAGATTATCTCATTTGACCCCCATTAATGATATGTAAATGCTTGTAAGTTGCTACAAGTATTATCTTCTCTTTTATATGTGAGGAAACTGAAGCTATGAGAAGCTAAAGGTACTTTCTATAGTCTTCCTGGTCCAACATTCTTTGCCTCTTCCCCGACATACTCTCAATACATTGGTGGTGAATGATTGACACTATAGAAACACAATATGAGATTACAAGTTAAACAAAATCTCATTAAATATAAAAGTATGTGGAGAAAGAAGTGATATCTTAAAATATTTCAATTCCAAAATGGCTGAAGCAATTAAAGTCATTGCACTTAACCACACCCATCTATTGAAAATTCATTCTTTCCTTCCCCAAAACTATTCTTAAATATATTTCAATGCATTTTAGAAGAGGCTCAATTGTTTTTTTTTTAATTTGGAGTTCTAATGAGTTTATTTAGGTATATTAAGTTTTAAAGGGAAATTAAAACATTTCTTTCCTAAATTCCAATGAATCAGTTTTTTAAAATCCCTAACAAATCCATTATGTGCCCAGTGCTATCCCTTAGGTGTTAAGGAAAAAAAAATTAAATAGGTAATATCCTTGCCCTCAAGGAGTTTATAATATATTTGGTTGTTGTTGTATTGAAGTTCACTGTATACAAGATGCATCAACAATATGCTACTCACCATTATTATTGTTGGTGTTAAAATTAATAAGCATCATTCCCTATTGAATAGAAGAACTATGTGACTCCATTTGGCATTAATCTCTGATAAACTAAAAATGTAAACCAAGAGCCTGCTTCTTTTCTGGTGAACAGAATTTACAGAACTAAGCAACATTAATTACCACCTTTAGCAGCTTTTTGTTTGCTTTATTTACAAATGTAGTATTATAACAACTAATTCCTAAAAGATAGAATCAGAAAAATACTCAAAGAAACTGGTTTAGAAAACACAATGAAAACAATGGCATATACTCCAAATAGCAGTAGTTAGCTTATTAGTTTTTCTGAACAAGTTTCCTAATATTGTCTCAGAGATCCACTGTTGTATTAAAATAAAAGTAGTATTCTTGGTCATAAAGTTTTCAGGGAACATCCTTTATGCTCAGCACTTCTGTCCCTGTTCCAGGTCCAGCATCAGAATCTGCCATATCAAGAATCGCAGGCTGGTTTTCAGATACATAGGGCCTCAGATTACATAGATGGCTACCCCAGGCTGCTACAAGTAATGATATAGTCTGGCACTTCTCAGCTTTCAGTTCAAATTCAAGTTCAATTTGACTATAATAGAAGCTTTATGGTGCAGTATAAGGAACACTGGACTTAGAAACTGAACAACCAAGCTCTAATCCCTTAGGCTCATTGGGTGTGTGTACCTGGGACAAGTAATCATTATCTTCTCAGAACTGAGGTTTCTTCATCTGCATAGTTCCCAGAAATTTTAAAGGTGAAGAAATCTCTTTCAAAGCCATAACATTCTCTATACATGTGAAATGTTGTTATTCTGAGAAAAAAAGAAGCTATATTTTTCTCCTTCCTTAATCCCATGATTGTTTTTTGTTCCATTAAAAATAACTTAGGCTGAAACAAGGACTATATATTATTACCTCTTAGCTGGCCTCTGGCTTCTTTTTAACCCTGCTCCTTTATTTCTTGGTATTCCTATTAAAGCACAAATCATAGGAGAAGTTAATTACTAACTTCTATTTTATTTTTAAAAAAGCTGGTTCTTATTTGTTAATCACAGCTTTTAATTAACCACAATTTTATTTACTAATTTAAGTAAACAAATATTCATTAAGTAGCTGTTACATGCCAGATACTCTGCTAGGTGCTAGATGCTAACCTCCAAAATGTAGGCTAGCAGACATATTTTGTCCTATACAAGGACTGACTATTCAATATATATTTTCCCATTCATCTAATTCCCCAGCCTCAGACAGGATTCTTTTTTTTTTTTTAATTTTGGACCATATATTTCTACCCAGTATAAAATGAAGTTGAGATGCTAGGACCTAAATTATCACATATGAGTATCCACACTAATCAAATTAATCAGCTAATTGCCAGTGTGCTGCTTCATTTTGTGCTAATCTAAGTAACAATGTGAAAGGTACTAGTTACTTTTCTATGAAAGATCAAAATAGGATTTCCCCCCTCACTCTTTCTCAGAGATTCAGTGAAAAAGAAAAAACACTCAACCTGGATTTAAATGTGACTTCTTTTTATATTCCAACCATAATAGTTACTATCTTTAGTTTCAGCTTACTTTTCTGAAAAATGGGATAATGTAAATAAATAAATAAATGGGATAATAACATAAAATTGGGTAATATTTTTAAACCAGCCATCTAAATACCACTTCTTATTATATGATATAATCCTTTAATTGCATTGTCTTTTTTTTTTCATTTTAGTAGCAAGCAGAAATATGTTCTCAATTCAAATTAGAATCTGTTGATCTATAATAGAAGGGGAAGAGTTAGTGTTAGTGAGAGAATAATATCTAGGTTTTTGTCAATAATTAATCACATGATCTAGAGCACTAATCTGTACCTGAATTTCCCCAAAAAGATGTCTGATTGTATAAACTCTAAGGTTACTTCCAGCTAGAATATTTTTGATTTTATGAAATGTTTACATGATGACCCTTATATAGACTAGTTTTCCAATCTAGAATGATGTATTTTCTCATACAACAGGATATTCTGATTATATTCAACACTGGGTAGAAAAATCAATATTTAATTAGTGATGTGAGTTTGAGCTTTTTTCTAAACTAAATACTGTTACTGAATAACTTTCCAAGGACATTAATGGTCAAAGAAAATATGAGACAACTCAAACAATTAACGCTGGTCACACTTCCATATCTCAATGTCATCTTCCTCCTGTTTTCTCACTTCCTTTCATTGCTTAGAGAATGGAGAATAGTCTATTTCTGCCTTTATAAAGTATCTTCAAAGTTTCCCCATAAGCAAAACTACTCATGAATCCCAACTCAAGATGGACACAGAATATATTTTTCATTAATAACTTATATCCTGCTCTGAGTAATAGGCCAGATATGATTTTCAGGATTGTTATGGCTTTTGGGTTCTTTTGGTTTGTTAGAAAATTAGGCCACTAGAGGAAAAAAGAACTAATCAGATAAACAAAATAATTATTTTCTAATATGAGAATGACTTTATGGTTAATAATTCACATGTTTTGTCTTTCTGGAGTAAAGCTGGCCATCAGTATCAACATGCCCTTTGGATAAGCTGGTGCTGCTGTGTAATTATAATAATTGATTTCTGAAAGAAAAGCGCTATCAAATTGACTCCGGGATTCTTAGTATGCAC